GTTTTGTTCAACATGGAAGGTGCGGAAGGTTTGGCATGCTAGTGGTGAATAGCTGGGTTAGGAGACCCCAGAAACCTAATTCTTAAGTTGCGCCAGTGGTGGGTGTGGTAGGAGCCACCCATAGTACCCCCCAAAATGGGTTTATTCAACATGGAAGGTGCAAGCCCCACTTCAAAGGCATTTGATAGAGAAATGTGCCCTGAATTAGGAAATATAACTTAAGAATGGGATTTTTGGTGGAAAGGCAACTTAAGAAGCGGTCAAAGGTCACTAATTAGCTATTTTTCGATTTTACTGAAAACTATTTTTCCATTATTTCGTGATTTATTCAAAGTATATTGCACAAAACTACATGGACATTTTTGATAGTGCTAGGAGCAAAAATATGAGACATAAAATAAATGAAGTTTTAGCTAAAAGTATGACATAACCCCCAAAATATCACTCGACCCCCATCGGTAATTAAAATGTTAATCAACGTGAAAGGTGTAAGTGAGAAACCAAGCCTAAATTGTATGGAATGATATCAGAAATCATTATCATCAACTTAAGAATGAAATTTCTGGTGGTCAGTGTACTTAAGAAGAGAATAATGCTGGTTTGCACCGAATGACCCCTAATTAGAAATTTAATTAAAACATGAAAGGTGCGACATTGGAACAAGGTGTAAAATGTAAAGAATGATTATAGGATTCACAACCACTAACTTAAGAATGAATATTTCAGGTGGTAAATGAACTTAAGAACAGATGTGACCAATAACCTTAAAAAATCAGTGTCAAGCAGTGCAATATGCCCACAATGCTAAGTTTCCTCTGGATCTCTGATAGTAACACTGATTAATTACCGCCCACTTCCTTCATACTAAGGGTCATTTAAAACATAGATCTATGTCATGTTATTGCAGATATCAATCAAGACCCAATCAACCAGAACCTAACTTAGAAGAGGCAACCATCTCCATCAAATTAAGCATCATCAGATTCCTCAATTCCTCGATGTCTTCCTCAACCAATGACTCCCATAGTTCAGGACCATTAAACCATGAGATCTCATACTGTCTTTCCTTAAACTCCCAACCATCTTCTGGCGATGGGTGCTGGTTAATTCCTGATTTATCAGCGTTTCTCTATATCTTTGCAACCAAAAATGCCCCTGTAGTGACACTTTTGATTCGCAGGGATGAATCATACTACCATTGATGCCCTTTTCAGTTTCTCCAGAAGATTTTTACATCTTGCCTTAGACCCATTACGTCTTTTGAATTCTATTTTTGAATTGTGAGATACCCTCTCACCGTCCCATACAATAACTTTTCAACTTCAACGGAATTATCAGTGAAATGAAATTCGATCGTTTGTCTGTTACCGCTCGTTACTTCAGTCTGTTATATAGAAGGATAACTCGTGTTTGTCATGTTTGACGTCACTTCCCGTTTCTTCTCGTGCTTGTTACTCAGCTATCGTAGCAATGATCTGTGTTAAAATTATATTTGGGATGTATTTAACGAGCTCGATCACATATTTTATAATGACTGACACCAATATTGTCCTTTAACTAAATTTCTGATTAGGGGTCATTCGGTGCAAACCAGCATTATTCTCTTCTTAAGTATACTGACCACCAGAAATTTCATTCTTAAGTTGATAATAATGATTTCTGATATCATTCCGTACAATTTAGGCTTGGTTTCTCACTTGCACCATTCATGTTGATTAACATTTTAATTACCGGTGGGGGTCGAGTGATATTTTCGTTATTTTTGGGATTATGTCATACTTTTAGCTAAAACTTCATTTATTTTATGTCTCATATTTTTGCTCCTAGCACTATCAAAAATGTCCATGTAGTTTTGTGTAATATACTTGGAATAGATCGCAAGATAATGGAAAAATCGTTAGCAGTAAAATCGAAAAATTGCTAATTAGTGACCTTTGACAACTTCTTAAGTGGCCTTTCCACCAAAAATCCCATTCTTAAGTTATATTTCCTAATTCAGGGCACATCCCTCTATCAAATGCCATTGAAATGGAACTTGCACCTTCCATGTTGAATAAACCCATTTTGGGGGGTACTATGGGTGGCTCCTCCTACCACACCCACCACAGGCGCAACTTAAGAATTGGGTTTCTGGGGTCTCCTAACCCAGCTATTCACCACTAGCATGCCAAACCTTCCGCACCTTCCATGTTGAACAAAACCCACCTAGCTCCCGGACTAATACTTTTACACTATTTGTGTACAAGTAGTGGCCATTTGTTGGTGCAGTTTTGTTCTGATTTTCATGACATTCAAATTCAACCATCCTTATAGTGTAGCGATGATGCATTTGGTAAAATGTAACCTATACAGTGTCCACAAACAAATTCTGGAGGGGGGGTGGGTGATTTGATTCAGATATACATTGACTTTAAGTGACAATTCCTAATCATGGTAAATAACAGAATAAGCCTAAATATTTTCTATTTTGTTAAAGGGTACAAAGAGAAGCAGTAGAATACACTGTCTTTCTATCTACTTTACTCCATATGAAATCCACCGGGCGTCTAACAGGCCATTTATAACAACTGACAAAAACCATCAAGGCTGTAAATCAGAAGTCAGCCATCTTGAGTTGTCTCCATCTTGTATAACTGTGATGAGGTTATGACACGTTTCTATTTACACCTTACAAGACCACAATATATCACAAATTCTAAAACTCCCCTTCTTTGAGATAACTAGCGACCAGAAAGATATTCAAGTCCACAACCATAGATTAGTTATGGACTGCCAACTACCGGTTATAATAAATAACTGTATGCGAAGATTAAGATATACACGATACCAGGAATCACCACAGGAGAAAGCAACCAGAAACAATGTGTGCACATCAGAAGCATTCTAAACCAAAATCAGAAAGGTCTGAACCATAGTGTGAATCACTAGTAAATCTCTAAGAAGTAAATCAAACAACAATACTACAAACAACATTGTCATAAACCTCATCTTCTGTTATATTGTCTATCTGGCTGTAAGCTGTAACTGACAAATGTTGATCTTCACACCCTACAACTACCCTTTAAGATAAACTAGAGACACAGATTGTGAGAATATCAGAATAAATATAAGCTAGAAAGCTCACACTAGGGATCGCAAAACAAACAGCGCTGCATAGAGAAAGCTAAAGTTGTCTCTAGAAAATCTCTCAAGTAAAACCAAACAACCTCAACAGATCAACATTGTCACAACACTTCTTCTATTTGATCACTTCCTGTAGTCTTTCGATTATATACAAAATCAGACAGTGTGGATAGTGTCGATAATGGTTCTTGGAGAATGACGTTTCATAACGCCAATACTCATCTGGCATGTAACAGGTTGTATGGTAGTAAAGTTAGTAAATTAGTATAATTAGTAGATTAGTATGTTATAAATAGTACCCGTATACAAAATACAAAACTATTTACACCTGATTCGTCTTGTGACCCGCATAGAAATCTTCACTAAATGTCAATGTATATCAGAATCAAATCAAACCCATTCTTTTAAGTGGAATGGGGTTTAATGTCTTGTAGATATTTACTCAAGTCATTGAGACTAACACATGGTTATATTTTGTTCACTAGGATTCCGCTTGAAATTTGAGGGAGAAGAATTTAGCCGAGTGGTGGCATTTCCACTTTTCCTCTAATTCCAACTGTCAAGAGTTCTCTTACGTACTCGTCAATGTGACATGGATGGACCCCGATTCTTTGTCACATCCAAACGACCAGACACACTTCCCTTGTCAGCTACACAGGCGTTACCCATGACAAGTGGGTAATGGGCTTGAAAAACCCCAAAGGCTCTTCTCGACCTTCGTCAGGACTGGAACCCGAGACATGCTAATCACGAGTAAGGTTTCCCGAACCACTTGACTTCCGTGGTCTGTTTTTGAATATAACAAAGCAATGTCTCTCACTGTACATTTACAAACTAGGACAATTTAATGGAATAGAAAAGCATTATTAAACATACATTATGCAAGAGCTAAATCTGCCTGTTGCAGGTCTTTCTTTAGGCCTGAAATGTTATCTAAATTATTAATTAGACATTTTTAACTTATTCGGACCATAATCAACTCTTGATGTCATCGCTAGTCTGCGATATTTACTGGATTAGGATCCGATTTGCTGTTCAACTTTCATTCATGATTTAATCATAAAATGGATAATCAGGGCTGTTTTTTATCGTACCGACTTTAGTAATGATGATCAAAGCTAGGCTGAAAATTCAATTGCTAATTTCTCGGTTCGGAGTGGATCAATTTGATTGAAATTTTCAGCAAATCTCCTTTACATTATCTAGTTTTTAACTATTGTAGTGAGAACTGTGATCTCCCAGAATTATCTTTAACACATTAGTGCAATGACCTTGCGAGCGGGGGGGGGGGGGGGGGGGCTGTTCATGTCAAAAATAAAAATATAACCTTTTATTGCTCATCTGTCATTTTCCTATTGAGGTTGTAGCTATATATAAATAATTGCAAATTACAGAAACTCTCAAATTTCCCCCCAATGGTTTGAATGCAAATTCGTTTGAAGAGAATTTGCAAAATATGATAGTCTACCTACATCTGATTTTTCATACTTGGCTATAATTTAACTAATATTAGTTAAATACTACCAACTACCACCAAATACTACCTCATTGTCAGAAACTACCACAGTTGTTGAATTATACAGAAAAGAATTGAGTTAATTTGAGGAATCAGCTACATTTTTAGAATAAACAGGAATATAGAGAATCTCCTACGAGTCTTTTTTGGATATCAAAAAAGACTCGTAGGAGATTTTATTTATCAGCCAATCACTTCTTACATGCACAAATAAATAAATATAATTCTTTTCTATAGATTTCACTTGTACCAACCCTAATTCCTTTTGGATTGACCAATCGAATTCATGTAAAGCGATATAAAGGAGATATCACATAAGCGCTATCCACTGTAGAATGTATTATTGGGTGATAAAGTATATTTATAGCATCAGTATCCTGTAGCTCAAGCATCTGAATAACTAGCCAAATATGACCAAACATCTCCCAATTCTAACCCAATGCTACAAAATTTAACCACAAACTAACATTATTATTATTATCTGAAACTGACAAAATTGTTCGCTATTTTACAGAAATGGAATGATTTCTGATAGTATGGGTTAATATTTTGTTAGTATTGGGTGATCTAGGGAGATAATGGGAACATTGAGACATTGGCCATCACTTTTGCCACACATTTTTGCAAGTTTTCCACAAATTAACTCAATTTTTGTTTAATATAATTGAAGTATTCTGTTAGTTTTTCACAATATTGGGGTAGTACGTGGTTATAGTATTTGGTAGTATTTGGTGCTATTCGGTAGTATTGGATAAATTAGCTCGGGCCTTGGTTACTCAAAATAATGCTGGAATTGCAATTCGAATCGTTTTTAGTCATTTTTGGCAATTTAGATATTGATTATAGATTTACACACCAACCAGCAGCAAAGTAACTTAAACAATTACTAGCCACCCAAAAGACTTGTTGAGAACCATCTTGTATGGCAGTGTTTTTTTTAAGATAAAGGTTCACCTTTCTAATCGTCCCGTGTTTCACCAAATAAAATGTAGATTATAAAACTACACTGGTGTAGACATTTCGTATAAAATCAACCATAGTTATGATTCGCCTTTTTTGAATATGAACACCTGTCATAGTATAAACTGTCTCATCTTCAGCCAGCAATATGGCCATCATATCTCTCTTACATTGATCTGTTAATAAAAAAAAAAAAATAAAATAAGTAAATTATTTGCAATCTTGTCCACATGAAATGGGCATTATATTTTCCAGAAGTATTTTTTAAGTAATCAAAACCAATCCCTATTTAACTATGCCGTAAACATTAAAATATTTCAGTTCTGTGGCACTGGTAATTTATTTAAAATTTAATTATTTCACCTACAAACCAAATTTGATGTAATAAATGTTGCTGAAAGCAAGAACATTAGATTGGAAAACTATCAAGCAAAACAAATCCCGTTCAAACTATTATGTGTGTGTGTCCTGATGTGTGGTGAGGGACTCTTGATATGGGGAATTTTGAGTGCCCTAGTATCAAAAATTCACCGTCTCTCGCTGACACATCAACCTATAGTGGGGGGGGGGGATTGAAACAATCGAGTGACACACAACTAGTATGGGATTCAATGAGTTTCATGGTATGCTTTAAAATATAAATACCATAAAAATTAACATCCAGTATCTACTTCATTACAAAAACGGCCAAACAAAACGCGGAAATACGCCGACACAGCAGCCGTAGACAGCAGATTATCCCAGAGGAGAACTTTGATGTTGACCAAATTTGATATTGATCCTTTATGAACTCAAGAAAAAACTAATCACTATTGTTGAAAATCAATATGATTCTTCATCTCATGACCTTAAATCCTGTGTATAAATTTAAAGTCAATCGGATATTAACTTTGACCTCTAGAGCGTCCACAAGATTTTGAAGTGATCAAGGGCCATAACTCTGGCAGTAATTATCAAAAATCATTGAAAATCAAAAGGCTTCTTCGTCTCATGACCTTAAACATTGTGTATAAATTTAATGTCAATCGGATATTAACTTTGACCTCTAGAGCGTCCACAAGATATTTTGAAGTGATCAAGGACCATAACTCTGGCAGTAATTATCGAAAATCGCTGAAAATCAGTAGGATTCTTCGTCTCATGTACTTCAACACTGTATAAATTGAAAGTCAATCGAATATTAACTTTAGCCTATAGAGCGTCCACAACCCGGACCTCTGGGGGCGACAACAATATACGACCACATTTCAATGTGGGCGTATAAAAATTGTTAAAAAGCGGTTGCCATGCAAGATACGCTCACTTTTGGCAAGAGATGGACAAGGAACTAGTTGAAAGATAGGTTGCCAGGCAACGAAACATACGCCCACAGCAGCTAAATCGTCCGGGCAGTCAACAAGAGTTGTCGCATATTTTTACTTTTTTCGGTAATGAAACATTTATAATACACTAAAATCTGATTAAGAGCAACAACTCAGAAAACCATTAGAATTTGTTTGGTTTTTATAAAGTTCTGCCCCATGCTAACGTTTTGTATACAAAACTTTTAATACTGTATCATGAATTTAGCTGTTCCAAGTCATAAAAATTCATTGAAAATCAATATACTTGTTCGTCTAAAGATCTTCAACTCTGTGTATCAATCTGCAGTCAATCGGATATTAACTTTGGCCTCTAGAGCGTCCACAAGATTTGAACCTGGATTTTTCAGACGAGTATTTGGACCAAAGAAGATACATTCTGTTTTACTGTCATTCAATTTCGACATGTTTCTTGTCAGTAATTAACGTTTGGCAGTAATTATCCCAAACCGTTGAAAATCAATATGATTCTTCATCTCATGACCTTAAATCCTGTGTATAAATTTAAAGTCAATCGGATATTAACTTTGACCTCTAGAGCGTCCACAAGATTTTTTGAAGTGATCAAGGGCCATAACTCTGGCAGTAATTATCACAAACCATTGAAAATCAAAAGGCTTCTTCGTCTCATGACCTTAAACATTGTGTATAAATTTAATGTCAATCAGATATTAACTTTGACCTCTAGAGCGTCCACAAGATATTTTGAAGTGATCAAGGGCCATAACTCTGGCAGTAATTATCGAAAATCGCTGAAAATCAGTAGGATTCTTCGTCTCATGACCTTCAACACTGTATAAATTGAAAGTCAATCGAATATTAACTTTAGCCTATAGAGCGTCCACAACCCGGACCTCTGGGGGCGACAACAATATACGACCACATTTCAATGTGGGCGTATAAAAATTGTTAAAAAGCGGTTGCCATGCAAGATACGCTCACTTTTGGCAAGAGATGGACAAGGAACTAGTTGAAAGATAGGTTGCCAGGCAACGAAACATACGCCCACAGCAGCTAAATCGTCCGGGCAGTCAACAAGAGTTGTCGCATATTTTTACTTTTTTCGGTAATGAAACATTTATAATACACTAAAATCTGATTAAGAGCAACAACTCAGAAAACCATTAGAATTTGTTTGGTTTTTATAAAGTTCTGCCCCATGCTAACGTTTTGTATACAAAACTTTTAATACTGTATCATGAATTTAGCTGTTCCAAGTCAAATAATTCATTGAAAATCAATATACTTGTTCGTCTAAAGATCTTCAACTCTGTGTATCAATCTGCAGTCAATCGGATATTAACTTTGGCCTCTAGAGCGTCCACAAGATTTGAACCTGGATTTTTCAGACGAGTATTTGGACCAAAGAAGATACATTCTGTTTTACTGTCATTCAATTTCGACATGTTTCTTGTCAGTAATTAACGTTTGGCAGTAATTATCCCAAACCGTTGAAAATCAATATGATTCTTCATCTCATGACCTTAAATCCTGTGTATAAATTTAAAGTCAATCGGATATTAACTTTGACCTCTAGAGCGTCCACAAGATTTTTTGAAAATCAAAAGGCTTCTTCGTCTCATGACCTTAAACATTGTGTATAAATTTAATGTCAATCGGATATTAACTTTGACCTCTAGAGCGTCCACAAGATTTTTTGAAGTGATCAAGGGCCACAACGCTGGCAGTAATTATCGAAAATCGCTGAAAATCAATAGGATTCTTCGTCTCATGACCTTAAACACTGTATATAAATTTAAAGTCAATCGGATATTAACTTTAGCCTCTAGAGCGTCCACAAGCAATTGTGGACGCCGGACGGACGGGGGCGACGACAATATACGACCACATTTCAATGTGGGCGTATAAAAAACGATTTTTCGGACAATCAGGGGCCATAATCCAGGATGTTAAGGTCCGACATACTTCAATATTGACAGTAACCATTGGCAGTTGAAACTTATCCCTTTCAATGCTAGACATAAATCCACTGCCTGTGCTAGACCCTTTTGTCTGTTGGGATGGGCATTAGGTTGGGCTAAGAGGAAAAAATAGAATTTTGGAAATTTGCATAATAATGTAGTCACGTGGCGTCATGGCGGTCATTTTGAATTTCTCATTTTTCACTAAAGCAGTAAAGCTAACACGAAAATGAATTTTTCTCTATGAAATACTTACGAGTTGTTTTTTTCACAAAAATATCAATAGCAGCCACGAGCAATATGCCACCACGAACACACACATCACGTCTCCCGCTGCCATAACCACGTGCGGATTGCAATACCTTGTTTTCACTTTCACCCCCAAGTCTCATATCATTATCAATATAGTCAGTCAATAGATCTACACGTTCGGGACTCAGGAATTGTCTACGTCTTTTACGATCCAGCAGGCCAGCATTATTATCAACATGAGAATTATTGTCAGAATCTACTGCAGACACAGGGCTATCGTGTTCACATTGGGCTTGTTCATCATGCACAGGAGACATAGCCATGGGCAGAACGTCGCGCAACAAATCACACACTACATATATAATACCAATCACTGTCCTGACTACTATCATTATCAAGTAACTGGAAACGAATTATGTGTATCACCCGCCTCGAAATTGTCCATGTGTTGGTCAGCAAGACGTCATTCACGACTTCGTCGAGAGTGCATCGTCTACGTTGTCACTATGCACTCCGCTATTTTACGGTTTGCCGCTTTGAAACATGTGAAAATATCTTCTAGTGTATAGAAAATACAATAGATGGCACTTGCAGTTACGGTACTAATTTTAGCGAGGGCTTTACCGAGTACACGGTAATAGCTGGTACGCGCATTTTAACGACATTTTATAATACCCAGTGTACTACCAGGTAGACGCAATAAAAGGGTTAAGAAGATTAGGCTGAAATAATTTAGATATACATTGACTTTTAGTAAAGATTTCTAGACTACAGGGCTAAACAGGCCTAAATATTTTCTATTTTGTTACACAGAATACATTGCCTGTCTTTCTATCTACTTTACTCCTTATAAAATCCACCAGGCTTATAACAGGCCATTTATAATAACTGATAAAAACCATCAAGGCTGTATATCAGAAGTAGGCCATCTTGAGTGGTCTCCATCCTGTGTTATGTCGTCTTTATCGTGTATAGCTAGGATATGAGGTTATGACAAATGTTACACCTTACAGGAACACAATATACCTTGAATTCTAAAACTCCCCTTCTTTAAGATAACTAGTGATCAGGAAAATATCCAAAGTCCATAACCATAGATTAGTCATGGACCTGCTAACTACCAGTCATAAGATATAACTGGATCTAGAGGTTAAGATATACGTGACACTAGGAATCATCACAGAAGAAAGCAATCAGAAACGATGTGCACACATTAGAAACATACTAAACCAAAATAAGAATCACTAGTAAATCTCTAAGAAGTAAATCAAACAACAATACTAAAAACAACATTGTCATAAACCTCATCTTCTGTTATATTGTCTATCTGGCTGTAAGCTGTAACTGACAAATGTTGATCTTCACACCCTACAACTACCCTTTAAGATAAACTAGAGACACAGATTGTGAGAATATCAGAATAAATATAAGCTAGAAAGCTCACACCAGGGATCGCAAAACAAACAGTGCTGCATAGAGAAAGCTAAACATGTCTCTAGAAAATATCTCAAGTAAAACCAAACAACTTCAACAGATCAACATTGTCACAACACTTCTGTTTGATCACCTGTAGTCTGTCGATTATATACAAATCTGACAAAGTGGATGGTCTCTATAATGCAATCTGGACTGTAAGAATGG